AAAAATATTAAATAAAAACGTATATATTCTCTTATATTCACGATTAATTAAAACACTTTGATTATTTATGCTAAAAATTACATTCTATTAGAACCGCAAATTTCTTGGGATCGATTTGTCTGTATTTTTATGAAACATTGTATAATCGTTTGATGGCACAGCATGCGGTTTACCATTAATAAACCTCAAATTTAAAAAATATGATATTTTTTCCAGAAAAGCCTTTTTAGATTATTATATAATCTGAGAATATCGTACGCGTTATATGTTTTTACATTTTCACATTATCATAATTAAATAAAACGGGGAAATACAACAAATTCTCTCTAATCGCTTTAGAAGATTAAACTGACATATAATCAAAATAGCAAGATAGTTCATGGCTGCCGTCATCAAGATGATTTTTTGATATTTTCTCGATGCAATGATTTATAATTTGCATACTTAGCATAAAGTGAACAACATAATTCAAGAAGATATTTATTTAATAGATTAAATGTAAACTGCTGTTAAAGTCTATTTGTAAAAGACGCCATGCGCGTAAATTAAAAGAATTTATGATAACTTCCATTTAATGTTTAAATATTGATTCGCTATGTATATGCTTGAATACGCAGTTTAAATTTCCATAAAATGCAAATAATAAATCGTGATACGGAGATAAATAAATCATTAAAACTTCTTAAAGTGTATATAATCATAAATCTTTTATCTCGCTACCTGAATAGAGAACAAAAGCCTCTACATAGCCACTTTTATTGTGCAAAAATACATAGTTAATAAAAATTTCATTTTTAAAATAAAGTATGAAGATTTAAAAATTTACAGGCTATTATGTTGTTTTTCTTAGATTAAAAAAGGTCAAATTAAATAGAGATAAGTAATTATCTTTAAACTTATTTTTTTTTTAATTTTCATAGTATCATTAGATGTATCTAATAAATGTTTAAGGAACTCTATATCTCTCTCTCTATATAAAATATAATAGGATTAACAAACGATGGATTTATCACTTTCTGAGTTCTTATCAAGGATACGATTATAACATCTTTTTTAAATAATTATATTTAAATAATTATATTTTTTAAATAATTATATTTTATAAATAATTATATTGTTTGGTTGTATGTCCCTTACATTGTTGTTTTTTTGTTAGTTTATATCTTGACAAATATGAAATATGAAATACAACAAATAAATATGAAATACACAAACAAAATCCAGATATAATTAAAGAATATTTACAGACAATTAAAAAAGCAATGTAAAAATGTAGATAATATTTAATATTAAAAAGATATTGATAAATATAAGGCAATTAGTTTACCTTCTCAAATTTACCGAATTCATTTTTGTTTAATATTGATACTGAATGTAAATAAAGTTTTTAAAATATATTTTCAGACACACTGATTCGCAAGTATCCTTCTACATTTAAAGTACAAATATAAAAAGAAATTATAAAACAATTACACAAAAGTAAAACAATACAAATTATTAAATATTAAGATATTATAAATAATCTTAAATTTAATGCTAATAAAAATCTTTTTTCCGAAATTGTCATATACGTTGATAAGGTAATAGATGATATTGATTTCTCCATTGTGTTCGCTGATTGTCTTCGCTGATATCGAGTATCATTTATCATCTTCGAGGTCCCGGAAAATATGTAGCCATGGAATTTCCACACATCTTTTTCTTAAGAGCTGAAATAGATACTTATCAATCAGCTCTCAATTTCCGACAAGAAAATCAATTAGAATATAGTATTTGTACATGCAAAAAAAACGAGTGAAAAAAGAATAAACGAATGATAATTATAGATTGTGATCACAACTACATTTAATTCCCGGTATTTTCTTGCATTATCGCGGATAACATTATATACCTCTAATTCTACTAATTTAACACTGTATAATCTTCGAATCTTAGAATGAGAAAAAAATTAAGCAAGTAATTTATATGCCCTTTTGTTTAATTGTAGTTAAAACACTGTGCAAATGAAATACATTTTGCAAATGAAATAGAATGAGATAATAATTAGTATTTGTTTAATTACATCACTTGATACAAATAGGTTTTTTATCTGATTAATATATTTATCTGTTTCTATTTAACAGTACCAATGTATTTTAATTTCAGTTCAATTAACTCTTCATCTTTTTTTGTTCTAAGAACAAAGTGACGAGTAAATTATAATTTTAAACTCTCGATTCAATTTCACTCTTAATTTATTGTTTATCTTTTTCAGTAAATTTAACCGAGATTAAAGTTAATCTTATACTGATGGCACTAGGTTTGTCCAAACATCCTAAAGAATATATACTTCTTGCTTTTACAAAAGTTTCTTTTCTTATCTATTAATTAGAAATTTCTAATTTTATCTCTGTGTAACCACGAAACAGGTTTTTCCGAAAATTGTTTTCGAAAATATTTTCGAACAAAAATGTTTTTCCGAACATGTTTTCGAAAATTAAATTATTCTGAGAGTAATTCTATTGCAATTATGAAAGTAATAAAAATATATATCGATAGTAGTAACTATACTTGTATTAATAGAATTTGCGAATAAAAGAAAAGATATATCATTATTTAATTTTATAAAAGATCGATTTCATCAATAATGGAATAAAAACATTTGTGTTGACTCTTGAATGAAACAATAAACGGCCTTCTTTTCGAGATTTTATTACGTATTTCGGCCTCTATCTCGCGCATCAGGTTATAATGATTATTCATCAGTACACGTGAATGGCTTGTTAAATCCCCTTCACTACATTCATGGTGAGATCGTAATTAGGAAAAAAAACGCATTTATGATGCCAAAACTCATTAAGTTCAGTACCGGCAGAGCGGACCAGAAACGTTTTAACATTTTATATTACAAGCAGCTTTTTTCTCACGTTTCACGCATACTATTTACGAGACATGATGCCACCGTGTATTTTCGATCATGAAGCTTATATACTCATAAAGATAAATACAATATGGCTGCATCAGCGGGATCATTACGATTTTTTATTTGTTTTATCTTGTTACGGGAATCATTTGCTCGGAAAGACCGTCTCTCTCGAATTAACATCAAGAGACGTTATTTCCCGAGAGATTAAATATTAATTTTAACATACAATGTTTTAACATCCGATATTATCGAATATT